GCCTCGACTGGCGAAACCAAATGAACTGTCCGACCGGCTAGGTGGTTTGCGTTTGATTTAATGGTAGATAGGAAGGGTACATTATACCCGATGGCATACGTGGAATTTAGTAGATGTACGCGCGTGTAAGTACCGTAATGCGATATGATAATGCGCCGTGCGCTTTTGTGCGAACGTCCACGTGAAATATTGTAGTGCGCGCGCACGCGCACGCGCTCATGCATACGCCCGTACACCACGGTAGCGCTACACGCGAATACAGAGGAAAAAAGAACACCACTCGCGTATCAAAACGTTAAACTTGTCCCTTAACCCTTTGTTTGGTAATGTCGCCTGGCCGAAGCTTAACATGTTTCTTTACACCGGCTTTTCACGCGGATCCTTGTTTCCGTTTCTGCGATTACGTTGTTAATTCAGTCTATGCATATTCATTCGTTCCTCGGTTCTAATTCGATGACCTGTTTTCAGACTCGTTCAACCGTTCCGACTTTCTTCAACGCCATCAACCTTACCTGTAGTATGTATCATTTCGTTCAAACAACATTTTACTTAACAAAATAGAATTGGTAGAATAACGTTTTAAATTTCGATCGATTTGCAATTGATTCGAAACGAAGGCGTCAGCGACATCTGTGACGGCCGATTAGACGAAAACGAAAGCGATCCGGCAGCACTTAATCCTACGATTAAGATAGATATTAGTCCACCCCTCGTGTCTTTTCATCTCTTCCTTTCACCGTATGAGAAAAAAACAATCTTAACCGAACGGAGATCCGCGTTCTGCTTTTTAGTTATATACGTGCGCACGCGTTCGAATATAATGGAACACAGATCTTTCCGCTTTCCTCCGTTTTGATGTAATCTAATGAGAGTATCCAGCAGGAACTTGGCGACCGCCACCAACCGGCACCGGAGCCTACAGAACGGCGGTGGAGGGAGGAACGATGGCGAAGGGGAGAGGGGGGAGGGCAAAGCACGAGAGGGTTAAGAGCACTTTTGCGGCGAGCGGAGATGCCCCGTGTGTTTTCTTGCTAGGTCTTAAAGGGGCCGTTGCGTGAAAGCGGCGAGGAAAAGGTTGACTCCTGTAGGACCGTTTTTTCTTCTCTTCCCACTTTTTTTTCATCGAGAAAATAAGCCGCCTCTTACTTCCACTGAAAAATTGATAGTTTCAAGTTACCTTCGGCCCTCCATTTGCCCCGAGTGCTCTCTCGTGAAACATTCATCGAGAAATTAGTAGATGGAGACAAATTAACGAAAGATATATAATACGTACTGCGGAACCGCCATTTTGTAAAATCACGTTTGATTGGAAGACGTTGCGTAGAGGAGAGGTTAGGTGAAAAGTAGGCGCGTGCAGAAATAGCCGATATGCAACTAAGGAGCTTATCGATCGTTAATTACGTAACGAACTGACGACGAAGGAAAGACGCTTCATAGGCGACCTCGTAATTCACCGGTTCGGGGTTACGGTTTTCTGCTTCTGGTCGCGCGCGCCCGCCCACTCCTATGTAAATTGCACGCGATTATGCACAATATGCGATACACGCCGCTGTATGGAAACAATTACGGGACAGCGAACGGGACACATCGAATCACGAAACTCTGCAGCCGCTAATCGATATTTGGCTTAAAATCTGAGACCGGATTTTATAGTTCCGTGATGCAAAACACACACGGCGACTGTAAATCATTCTAAGCTTTATCACGAATCATCTAACTTGTCAGATTACCGAAAATTCCAAATATGAAATTTTTTATATTTTTGAATAGATTAAAAGCAAAGAGATTAGGAATTTATCCTAATACTAATTGCCGTTAAGTATTAGTCAGGTCAAGGATACTAACAATGATACAAGTAAGGGTTCCTTTAGCGATGTGAATTATTCTAAACTCGCAAAGGATACCTGTACCGAACCGGTGTAACCATCACCTCCTCGAGGATGCATTATTAAGGAACTCTATTTCGAATGAAACGGTTACGGGACCAAGTTTCAGTACGCCCTTTGTCTCAAGTTATGCCGTAACGTTTTAGCCTGTTCGAATGAAAGTTATCCTGTGTAGGACGAGCAAGGGTCGATCGGGGTAGAGAGGTAGCTGTCGAAGGGGGTAGGAGGTGGAGGTTAAGGGAGGGGGAGCAAGGAGGTGGAACGATGCGCAGTACGGCGCAAACTAGACGCACCGAGTCCGTACTTGTTTGTACCTAGCGGTATTCGTTTGCTTCGGTCCGACATACTTTGCGATATCGACTTTGCCCGCTTTTCTTTCGTTCATCCATTTTTACTTTATTTCTAGTCTTGAAAATCCTAGACTGAAACTTTCTTTTTATGCATTAATTGTGTTTTGTTTGTGGAATAATTGTTTTTTAAATGAACTAAATAATAAGATTATTTGTTATTGTATTTGTTATGTTACATTGATTGAAATAGATATTATAAGTCTAATTGGATGGTTTGTATGCACATATTTGGTTTTCGTGAAAAGATACTTATAACAACCCTACAGCTCTTCGTAAACCTGCGCGCCTGGTACACACTCGACCAAGTCGTCCCTTGTAATTTGTTGGCGCCTATAGAAACATGGAGTCTCGGCTCCGGCGATGCCAAGACCGTAGAACCAGAATGCACGAAGCGCGACTACAGTCGTTAACCGTGCCTTCACCTGCTAAATCTAGCCCCTCATGAATATATTTATATTCTTATAGATAGAAATATTAAATATGTATTTAGATAGATCACACGCATTCTAATATCAATAATATCACAGAAGTCATACATGGATGATATAAGATTATGCATTATCGTTACTCGTTGTGTTCAAGCATCAGATTATATGTCATACTGACGTAAGCGTCTATAAATCAGAACACTGACGAACGATCGATACAATGGATCGAATCTAACCTTGATAATGCGTTTATAGTACTGCGCAGTTATAATCTATTGTGCAATTCTTCTGTATAATTCTATGATGTCTTATTACATTATAGAATATAGTAGATCACGTTGTAAATAATGACAATATCAAAGCAGAAGGAATATGTATCGGTATGATAGATTCGACCCGCTACATTGAACGGTCAACGACGTTCTGACTGGCGCGCACTCGCATCGCGCAACACGTGACCAAGCACCTAACCAGCCAGCCGGTCGAGTGGGGAAAGCCTTTTCCCTTGAGTTTCGTGTACTGTACAAGTAATGACAGGCGAGGGTGTGGGAGAAGGTGTATGATCGTAACGTGATGCGAATCGGGACTGAAAATGAACTGCGTTAAATATTTGTGTATTCTTAAATTGTTTATTTGTCGCTTCCCAAAGATTCTTCATTTTGAAAAAGAAGAAAAACAATATCTAGGATTTAATTGACAACATTAATCAATACGCTTTCCAAAATTGTCGAAATTTTATTAACGAATACGAACTATAATATAAAAAGAAAGAAATCAATTTTAAGACATACGTATATAAAATATTAATTGGACAAAAACATTCATTAAATTTTCACAAAGTGAAATCGCTACTTTAGGTATAGATGAAGCTGAAGGGACTCTTTAGATCTGTTCTCGGTTTTTCAAAAACAAGACGTTCCTTTGCAATCACGTTGAATTCGAGGTCGAGAAATTCGAGCTTGAACAAGTGTAACTTTGTGCGCTGGCCACGGTATATCGCGGTTATTCAATTTCGTGGCAACGAGATACGCGGTGCCGAGGAGAAAACGAGTACCGCTACGACACGAGTTCCGAGTTGAGTCGTTTTCCCCTTCGCGCGGTTTCCTCCCTTCCTCCTTGGCCCCTGTCCCCCTCTTCCTATCCGTGAATGTATCCCATCCTCTTCTATCGTGTATGCTCGTTCGTTCGTTCTCTCTTTTCACCGTTAGCGTTGCTCTGCCATTACTATATACCTTCTCCACTTCCTCGACCGTCCTTCGTGAGTACGCTGCAATTTTTGTCGGTTAGCAGCCAGGTCGGTGAGGCCAAACATGAAAATCAAACTTCAAGGAAATTCCTGATTCCAGCTGTGTATCTCTTCCGAATCCCGAAACACAGGCAAAAGGCGTATTTTGTTGTTACAAGATTATCACGTGTTTTATCTTACTTTGGAAATTCCTCAAAGGAACACAGCCATTTGAAATTTCAAACGTGGGCCACTTTTAACTGAATGGTGGCCATTTTATCAAAATGGTAGACAAAAATGTTCGCTAGCAATCACGAAATACCGCGAAAGTAAAAATACCTAGGATTTCATAGAACCAGCAATATCAGTTATGGGTTAACCTACAGTATCGATTTAAAATGTCTAAAATTATCAATTTAAAAAACTTAAAAATATCCCATTATTATAATTAATTATATAATCTTCAGTTTCTTTAAATATTCAATAAAATATAGATTTGGATTTGAGAATGAAGATTATTGAGTGCGAAAGACAAAGAATCTGAAATTGTTTGATGTACACACGACAGGGTGCGCTCAGTTACAAGACGAATGGCGTGTTCAGCTACTTTCGAGACGTTTTCTACGATAAACTTCCTTTCTCTGCTACTGGCCACGTCCTCCTCCAGATATTAAATCTCAATGTTTCCCACCAAGTCTTCGGAGTTCAGTTGCAAAGAAAGGGAGAGATCTA